TCACATAGATATATGCTCACATGGAAAAAAGCTCACATAGATATATGCTCACATGGAAATAAACCCACTGATAAAATACATAGAAATACCCTTACATTAATCAATCAATAATTAATCAATTTGAACATCGTACAGCTACTTGAAATTTTCAAAGAAAAATTATTGAAATTACAAAAACATCTATGGTATGTATGTATCAAAAACTGTGTAACTTATGTGTAGATTCAGTTGCTATATAAGATTAACAAGTGGACTGTTTTGAATTAGGAAAAGGAGAGGAGGAAGAAAAATTAAACAAAATAGACAGTGAAAAATTATTACAATTTCAATTCTTAAGAAAATAAAATAATAGTAAATATAAGTTACACATTTTATAATATAAACATTTAGAAGAATAGCAAACATAAAAAACTATTTTATTTAAATTACATAAAATACCTTATATAAATCATAAATACATATTTCAAAAAGTTATAAATACATAAAATTACTGAATTTTAGTTAATATGTGTAAATATTTAATTTTATCATTGATTTCATCATAGTTTCTTACATGATTCACAATTACTAAATGTAAGTTTTTGCATTTTTTTTTTTTTTTTTTTTTTTTTTTTTTTTTTTTTTTTTAACTTCAGTACACCTTGTATTTACAATAGCTAATAATAAATGTTGACAGGCTAAATCTTTTTTCAGTCCATCAAATAAAAACCACATACTGGGATGGCTACAATTAAATAATGAATTTAGTACCTTATGAAAGCTTTCATAATGATTTATGGTTTTAGGAGATTTTTCGGAGGCTGCGGCTGCTTCATAACGATTCCTCACTTCGATTGGAATAAAAATGTCGTACAGGGATAGTGGTATAAAATATTATAGTACACGCAAAATGTTACTGTAGTTTTCATTCTTTTATATACCACCTCTGAAAAGGTTAATGTGAACATTTGTCCAATAATTTTTTCAAATGATTAAATTATTTTTCTTTTAAAAATTAAGTAGGTGTACGATGTTTAGATCAATTAATTATTGACTGATTAATGTACGGATATTTCTACGTATTTTATTTATCAGTGGGCTTATTTCCATGTGAGCATATATCTATGTGAGCATTTTTTCTGTGTGGGCTTTTTTTCCTGTGAGCATCTATACCTGTGAGCATTATTCCTGTGGGTTTTTTTCCTAGAACCTAGATTTACAAATTATAAGGCTCAGCCTCTATGAGCTCCAGTGAATTTCTACTTACAGCCACTTGTCGGTTTGCTATTACTTTACGCAGAGAGCACTTGAGTGCTTTGCTTGAGTGCAAAATAATTGTAACTAATTATAACTAATATAAATAACTTCCAATTTACTATAATCCACTTTAAAAGTTACTGATACTAAGATGCCTCTTTAAATTCCCCTTGACCAAAATGCAGAACCTTATATCCTAAGTTCCAGAAACCAAGCTGCTTAAAACTTAATAAACAATAAATGAAAGCAAATATTAACTAACTACTGCACTGATGCTCATTTTAGTTTTCACATATTATTTCTAGCCTAAGCAAGGTAGAGAGAACTGCAAAGTCATTTAGATTACAGTAGTTTATCAGCTGGCGACCTGCATGCAAAATGGCATAAGCCATTACCATCAGTATTAAGTTAATGCACATTTATTAGTAACTTCATTCTCACCCTAGTTTTCTCATTCATATTAAAATACTGTTGCGTGGTACCTTACTCAAGACCAATTTTTCCCCCTATTAAGACCAACTTTTTTTAATTTGTGATGTAAATCCTTTACTGATTCCATACTAAACCAGCTAAACAAAAATTACAGTGACAGGGAAATTCACCTTAGTTAAACCTCAGAGACAGGTCTTTATGTGGTTAGAAATTTTTGTGTTGTGATTTGACCAGGTTTGCACCAGTTGAATTGCTAGACACACATTCAGAATAGGCTTTCAAATATAAACACTGTGGCAAGCATGAAAATAATAAATTAATAATAATATGGTCAGAAAAATGACAGACTCAGATTTAACATTTATTTTCTGGGTTTCTTCAAAACATTTTTCTCTTGGTAAAGAAAAATCCCATAATTACTCCTGAGATATTAAACATTCATACTTAAAATTAATAGAGTATTTAAACTGCCAGATAAAAAATAATTCAGGTATGCAATTTTCTTTTCCTACAATCTTAAACTGATAAATGAAAATTTAAACTTCTGTAATGGCTGTACCTCCCATTTCAGAATTATAGAGTTATAATTTTTAGTAAATATCTAATTAATCTAAGATAAATAAATCTTTTATTATTTCAGATAATGCAAACATAAGTTTAGTCTCCCGAGAGAAAAATGGAAATACTGTCAAATCCTCAGGCGAAAAAAGATACTCAATTAACATTACTCCTACTATTACATAGAAATTTATATCTGAATCAACAAAAGAAATACAGATTACTTTACATACACTGGTTTTAATACAGCTTATTACCAGTGTATAATGCACAATCAGCACAGGAAAAAAAAAAAAAAAAAAAGTCCAGGAATGTCAGTCCTACCAAAGAAAGAAAGAAAAGAAAAGTAAGATAAGCTTATCTTTATGCTGAGATCAAGATGCATCTCAGGCCAAAACAAGACCTTGATACTTCTTGCCCAATGATCGTCATTCCAAAGAAGACCTCAGAAGGGCATGAAAGAGCTACCCATCAAATAAACACCAGGTAGAAGCCATAATGTCAAAGCATTTCATTCGAAGCATACACGAAGAACTACATAACATTCAGAAATACCCTAGAAGGTTAGGCCCACCTTAACAGATAAAACAGTTCACTCATTCATTATATTCCCAGATCCACTTATAAGTCAGATTTCAGAAAAATTAGTCACTCTGCTTCATGAGAAAAAATTCATGGAGAATTTTCAAAACTGTAAAAAATTTTCAGACGTGCATCCAATCTCTGCTTCACTAGCACAAGTTTAGCCCATTTATCATGTCTTTCTATTTGGAATCTGCTAGCCATCTAACAAGACAAGACACAATAGTCTCATGTACAGTAGTCAGTAAAAATATATTCTACGTGAGTATATTCTGAAATGTACAGTATGCAATAATTTGAAGACAATTGTATATGTAAACCGTTACAGTGCAGGGGTACCCAGTACTTTAACAAAACAGAATATGCTTGTTTGAATTTTGACACAAATATCTTGAGCATCATTGTTGAAACAAAATAAAGAAGCTGCTTTTTTGAAATGGCTCATAAGTGCGAATGAGAAGTAGTTAGTGTACCATATGAAGCTCTCTTAGTAACATCAAAACATAGGTTACATCACCTAAAAGGTAATGCTTTATGTAAGGTGGACTACAAAGGAATTGTATATGAATTATTATTACTAAATCAGACAATAAATTCAGAAAAATGGCAGTTTTAAAAACAGAAGTTGAAGTAAAGTGCCCAGAGCTGGCCAATTGTCGAGGTGTTGCCTTCCATCATGATAATGCTTAGCCAGCTGCCATTTCAGTGAATGTCAGATAAAGAGCACGGCCGAAATGTTTGTATCACCTCCCATATTCACTAGGCCTTGCCTCTACAGATTTTCATCTCTTTAAGTCATTTCAGAATTCTCTGCATAGCTGAGTTTCTGAGTTCACTTCTTTCTTCACAGAGTTTCTGACACTTCCAAATAGCACCTCGATAATTTCTTAACTAATAAGCCTAAAAACTTTTTTTAAAAGGAATTTTTGAGTTGCTGGAGGGCAGAAATGTCATAGCAAAATGATGCTCAAGATATTCAATGAAATTTACTTATATTACTTCACTTGTATTTATCATAAAAAAAAGTACAGAACTTTTCAGATGACCCTATTTTCAGATAGTACATCAATGCAGTTACTTTAGAAATGGTCAACTGCAGGCGCTTTTAATGACCATAACTAGAATTATTTTTGTCATAAGACAAATGACTGTATGTGAAATTACATCCATATTCAATGCCAAAGGTTGCAGAAGCTTATCAGTGAGGTTACCATAGCTGTAATAACTCTTTACATATATATATATATATATATTCCTTCCAAAGCTGAATCTTAAAGGAATTAATGGAAAGGAACACCAGGAATGCAGTCTGCAGCTTAACTCAACACAGGAAAATTTACCAAATCCAGATATAGGAAGGATTGACAAATTAAGAGCTTTCTTAATTCTGTGAGTGGTGGTGCATGGCCATTTTCACTTGGTGGAACAACTTGTTCGGTTAATTCTGATAACAAATGAGACTCTAGCCTACTAAATAGATGCTCTGGTCCTTAGAGTCAGACTTTCTTAGAGGGAAAAGTGATATTTAGCCACATGAGATAAAGCAATAATAACAAGTTTGTGATGCCCTTCGATGCCTGAATGCTACAATGGTACAATCAGCTTGCACTTTCCCTGTCCAACAAGACTGGGTAACCCATTGAACCTCCTTCTTGCTGGAATAGTGGTTTGTAACTGCACTCCTTGAATGAGGAATTCTCAATAAGCATGAGTCATAAACTAATGTTGGTTACATCTCTCTCCTTTGTATACACCGCCTGACGCAACCACTGAATGATTCAGTGAGGTCTTTGAACTGGCCCTCGAAGAAACTTTTGGGGTCGCCTTGGCATCCCAGGAATATGACCAAATTTATTATTTAGAGGAAGTAAAAGTTGTACTACAATTCCTGGCACTTCAGTGGTGTACATGACAAACTATAATACCTGATATTTATAAATCTAGAATGATTTTAAAATTGTTCCATTACACATGGTTATGCCAAAGATATTCATGCAAATAAACTCACTTTGCATACAGTTGACTATTATGCTAAATTTTTTTAAAGTATTTAAAATAGTACAATATATAATTAAAAATAATGTACTATATTTAAAATAGTACATTATATGACTAATAATTCTTTGAAACTGAATGAATACTTGAATATCCTTAAAGTGGTAGTAATAACTTAGAATAAATAAATAACATACCATGTTACAGCTAGAACTAAAGTGTTTCTCCGCAGGCGAGGAGTTCGAAATAAATCTAAAGCGGTAGTATTTAAATTGGCTTCTTCATTTTTGTCCTATCAAAAAATTAAATGATATTAAAATATTACATTCTTATAATCTCTTAATAATTCTCTAAGAAATGGCAAAATATCAGTGCTTTTAATAAATAATAAATGGTTTAGATTTCCTTAATTATGTACATTGGAGAGAAAATTTTTTTTTTAAATTATATTTTAAAGCATAAACTTCTATAACCTATAGCTCTCTATATTATAAAAATAATCATTTGAGCTATTAACAATATTTACCACATGCAAAATGCTTTATTAAATGTGCTTACTTATTTTTAATAATATACAGTAAAATTTGGATATTTTGCACACCTTAAATTTAACTGTTTATTTATTAATAAATATACAGCAGATTTTGGATAATTTGCACAATGGTTAAATAGATCACATTTAAGTTTTGTCTACATGTTTCTTTTTCTAATTTTTTCCATTAAGTTTGAATTGTTTGCACTTTTAAATGACCGACTAAAATGTATTCATACCTTAAGAATTATTTAATTAAGGTTTATTACATGCCAGACTATTATATAGTATTAATTAGTTAACTAGTAATAGTTGCCAAAATACCATGAACAATCTGTCGGTGTTTTTGAGCAATAAAATCTGGTTTCCTGAGTTGTAGTAGGTATTAATTAGCAATTCCATTCAAAATAGGACCAAACAGACTTTTAAATTCTGCAGTTTGTCTCTGCCTTCATGTGCAATACAATGCCATTTCTGGCAATGTATCTGAAAAGTAAGAAGCTCAGTGATGACAAGATATACCATATCGCCACTTATTCCTTGATTCTGCTGATCCCCACACATATTGCTTTATCTGCAGGATCAAAATGGATATTGAAATTTTAAAAAAAAATAACATTCCCAGTCTTCTCTTAACCTCTTAACTGCCTCAGGTGTATATATATATATATACGCTCTTTCGAAATACCATCATTTGCTTTGCGCTGCTACAAGTAAAATTATTCACAAAGGTTTCAAATGCGGGGATAGCTTACCTCTTGTCCAGCCATTCTTATCTTATCTAATCACTATATCTTATCTCGTTCATTTGCACTTTGGCAGCTGAGGATGATGGTTCGGTGAAACCATCAAAAACTACTCCCGTGAAAATTTGCAAATATAACGCTGATTTTTGTTGTTTGAATTCTAAATTAATACTTGTTCAGCATGTTATTTTATCTTAATTTTTGCATTCTTAAGTAAAAACAAATAAATAAACAATTGCACTATTTGCAAATAAATACTTGATTGGTAGGGTTTCTCTTAAATGAATCCCTACACTGTTTCTGTCATTACGTTCCACACATGTGCTATCTGAAATTATGGAAAGTGCTACAATTGAAATTTTGGACGTATTAAAAAAAATTCTGTTATTTAGCCTCCTTTTCAATGCTGCTTTACCATTTTATATATCAGGAAAATCTCAATGTTATTCTTGAGAATTAATTCTCAGTCACTTCACACAGATTGTAAACAAATTAGTTATAATGGGACTTGGAAATGCATTTAAAGTTTGGACTCATGACTCACGAAAAGAGGGATAAATAAATTCTGTATGTACAAGATGATTAAAAAAAATCTGGCAAATTGCAAATGTCAGGTCAAATAGGGGAGGGGGGGCAAAATAAGCAGATTTTATACTGGAATATGTGTGTAGAAATCATGTGTTGAGGTAGTACAGGGCTTTGTTGAGAAGGAGATACACAAGATGAATTACATGTGAAACCATTTATACCTTGCCGGTGTAAGTTAATATTACCAGGGCACATTTTGAGTGTGTGCATCTCTACACAAACAAAAAGCTTGTTGACGTGCATTTTATCTGTAAGACTGTGGACAGAAACAGAGGTACAGACAACAACACCTGAGAAACTCTGTTCCTTATTCTGCAGCTCCATATATAAAATGCATTTCAGCAAGCTCTGTGTTCATGTAACAGTATACAATGATCAAACCCACACAAGGAATGATGATTTATGCCAGCAGATCAACTTTACTTACCAATCTCAACAGCGCCCTTCAGTGTATCATTTCCACACTCACACATTCATTCGATTACTATATCTGCTTCAGCCTTCTATACCTGCCTTTACTTACTAATTTCAACAGAACCTTATGCCACTTCAGCATGTCATTTCTACACTCGCATATTCCATTACTGCATCTGCTTAGTTTAGTCCTCTCTAGCTGCCTTTACACTTTTTTACCAGATATGTTAGAATCACCCTATATATATGTAAGAAAAATAAAGAGTATGTAAAAGATTAAATTAGCAGCGTATATTAATTTCCCTTCTCTATTCTAAAAACAGCAACATCTATTTGCATTGCATCATTTCGAGAAAAATCTATGTCATATGACTCTTACGTAATTCTGGTGATGTAAATTGAACTAAAACTCAAGCAGCCAATAATAATTTTACAGCAATATTAACTATGCAATCAAAATGTTTTGAGAACCAAACTAACTCAGTTTGACTTAAGATTTCATCCTGAACATTACACACTTGCTTTCAATGCTTTGGCCTATTTGCACTGCTGTCTGTCTGCTGCTGCTACTCTATTACTACAAAGTTATAAAAAATGTAAACTTTTTCAAATAGGCACAATAAATGTGCCAACTTGTTTGTGGACACAACATGTTTACTGAAATAAAAAATAAATTAAATATACCTTGACTTCCAAATTTCTTATTCCTTGTGGATCGCCGTTTCAGCATTGTTTTGCAACTGATTATTGTAAAAGTTTTTGGTTCCCATACTTCTTTTCTTAAAAGTTTGCGTCCCATCTTCTGACTTTGGCATTAGAAACGTCTACAGTAGGGTACTGCTGATTTAGGGGCCATTATCTTGAGCAGATTATCAAAAGATTTATCAAAAAACGTGGCTTATTAAGTGTTTCTCCATATAATTCATTTAATGCTTCTATTTCAAAAGTTAAAAGAACATTTCAAGAGCAACATATTTCCATATGGTTTAGAAAACAGTCATTTCTTAGAGCATTGCCATTCTACATATGGTAAGGTTTTTAATTTATCTATCAACATGAAATTGTAATTTTTTAACAATTTGGGCGATTTAAAAGCAAAAACGTCCTTGCTTTGTAATTTATATCTAAAGCCATGTATCATGTACGCCATCAAAATTCCTCCTCCTGCTCTTCAGTTACTTCTGATTTTTTTTCAATTACATATATACCATACCCATTCAAAATTAATTTAAACAGTAGTATATATATATCCCAAAACAGAAATTTATCTAAAACAAAAAATTTGAGAAGCTTCACTATCTAAGTCATGCGTAATAACAATAATAATAAAAAATGCTATAGTGTGTGAAGGGGGGGAAAAACTAGACAACTTCATAACTAAAATAAATTTGCTTTGAACAAATTATGTCATTAACATAGCTCAATGTTCTTAAAAATTTCATTTCCATATATTATGCCACCATGCTGAATTTTTATTTTGTTTTACATCCAAAAATATGTCTGCATAGCAGGCATTCACAGTTTATTCGAATTCTACTGTATATTATTAACAATTTAACAAATATATCATTCACATGGCACTTTAAAACTGTATTCAGTCATTGACTATAATAAGTCTAAAGAATACTCAAAATGTACTTAATATTTCTAATTCCGAATGTTTAAAATACATGATAATTAAAGACAAGCTGAAATTTCGTTGTTACATATAAGCAAGATTAAAAGTTGCATCATTATAATGAATATACACATCTATAATGAAATGCACAGTGTCATGAAATGGTATTTTTAAATGAGAAGTTCAATCTTGATAAACCTGATAGATCATAATATAAATGACAATATATATAAAGAAAATCATCTTATCTCTTATAATGTATATAAAATCAAGACATGGGTGAGCTTCAATGTAAAAGCAAGAGTTTATCTAGCATTTCTCAAGATAAAAATGAACTCCTGAAATTAACAAGATTTATTGGCAATAATTTTATTTCATTGAAAAAAATGAACTTGTGCATTTAACACTAATACATTCTCAAGATAACATTTCTGTACACTCATCTAAATTTGCTAGTAAATGGTTATCAGAAAAATAACATTAAGGCACGAACAAAAATTCATATCTAACTTAATCAAGAATAAAAATTCTAATACATACACAATCAATATCTGCAAATTCCTCTGAATAATCTCTCTTATTTATTCTTGCAACTATTTTAAGCAATTTTATTGCTTCTTTTCTTCTACCACGCGTAAGCAGCCAGCTTGCGGATTCAGGTATCAACCTTAAATAAATATTTTTTTCTTAAAGATCATGTCACTTTGCTTAATTTAAAAAATAATAAATTATATGCACAATTTTGAATTTTAACAAATGGAGAACAACATCATTAAATCGTGAAATTGTACATAAATTATGTAGTGCAGTAGTTATATATTTTTATTTGCATTGCGATATCACTGAACAATATTATATCACTTGTAATGCTCATAGTCCCAGCAGAAGGAAAGCCTGGCTGGAAAAAAATAATTAGTCCAATGGGACGATCACTTGCGAGCGCCAGGTGGTTTGTTGGACGGAGGTAATTTAAAAAAAAAAAAAAAAAGTAAAAAAAAAGTAGAGATAAAGAACGGAAAGGACAGTGAGGGCAAAGGAGACTTTTGACCCTGGATGTCGGATGGGACGGTCCGATTTTTTTTGGCTGGATGGCCGTTGCCATTTTTTTGTTATGCAGAGATTGTTTTCTCATCCAGGAAAGACAATGCCAGACTTACATATCCATTATTGTACCTATAATATATAATAATCAATAATTTTTTTCTTATTAAAGTTTATCGTTAAACAAACAATAAAAAAGTGTCATCTATGCCTCGATCAACAGAAACATGTGTGAAGGAAACGAACCCCACACTATGGATAATACAGTAACTTTTGTTTCCAGCTGTATGACTATGACAGTCAACTACATAATGGTGGCAGTGGTGAGATGTACTTCAGCACATGGGTGAGGACTGATTTTTTGTTAGTTCTCTGTTCGATCAGATGCAGGGTATTTTGTTTTTTTGTTTGGGTACCTCTAAAATGTGCAAGATTGTAAAGCAAATTGTAGGAGAATATTTTATCTGAGGTTAAATTACTTTTCATTAAATTTAAAATTTATTCTGCATAAGGATACAAAAGTTTAGGGGTATTTTAACACAGGTCAATTGAAATTCTGGTTTGGAACTCCAGAAATAGTTGAAGCTCGATAGAATTTAAGTGTTATGTATATAAATATACATTTTGTATACATGCATTTCTGAATACACACATACATTTCTGAATGCAGTCCCAATAACAGAAGAACACACCTCTGACTTCTACAAACACTGAAATATAGAACTCAAATTCAATATTACTTTCTTCAATAAGTTGAATTTTACATTATCTGAATTTTTTAAAACACTCTGTTTAGTTTCAGTTCATGAAAAACTGTATTTTTCTGCACAATAAAGCTATTGATTGTAGATAATTATGTTGTTTACTCTGAGGTTTTTTTTTTTTTTTTTTTTTTTTTTTTTTTTTCCTTCTACAGACAAATTAATATAAGTAGCCACATATATTTCCATAAAATTTTATTCTTTACACACACACACATATATATATATATAAGAATATATAAAAGAGTAAATTAAAAGCGTAAATTAATTTCCCTTCTCTATTCTAAAAATAGCAACATCTATTTGCACTGTGTCATTTTGAGACTATTCTATGTCATATGATTCTTATGTAATTATGATGATGTAATCAACCAGCCCATAGTAATTTTACAGCAATATTAACTGTCCAATCAAAATGCTTTGAAAACCAAAACTAATTCAGTCTGACTTAAGATTTCATCCTGAACATTATGCACTTGCTTTTCATGCCTTGGCTTAGCTAGACTGCTGTCTATCTGCTGCTGCTTTCTTGTTACAAAGTTATCAAAAATATAAGCCTTTTGGAACAGGCACTTCTAATGTGCCGACTTGTGTGTAGCCGTAACATGTTGCTGAATATAAAAACTGAAGATTTAATCTGCATTCACCTCCAATTTTCTAGTCATTATGGATCAACACTTCTGCAACATCAAAATTCCTGCTCCTGAGTTACAACTATTACAACTGAGTCGACAGGATACACATCCTGTGCGTTGGAATTTCAGTGGCAACGTCATCGCAGTGTCTACAATAACCAACCATCTCTTCAAACTTCCATGTGTAATGGAAATTCATAATGAATATCGAATATCTGCAAGTCCAAAAGTGCTAATGTCAGTAAAAACGAAGTGTAAGACTATCACTTATATATTTAGGGGGAAACAAATGTGTTAAACTCATCAAAGTGTACCTGTGCTTCACAAAAGTATTATCATTGAAATTGTGGCTACCATCGTGAAAGCGAATTAATTAATGTCTTCATGTTCTAATCTTCAAGATATCTACTGCTCTCAATCTATGTGCACAGCAACCTGGAATCAGCAAGTGAACCACACAGAATTGTGCCAAAACAAGTGTGTTACAAATTTTAAATTTTAAAGTCAAAATCCATTCTTCGAAATTTAATCCAGCATATGCAGTGATTTAATAAGTGCAATGTAATTCAAAAGCAATATAAAAAAGTTTTAAAAAATCGAATAATAGGTTTGCTGCGAGTGCTTAAAAATGAAATGTAGTGCCAGCCTTTCAAAATTAATTCAGCGTTTCTTTACAGTAAAATGACGAATGTTTTCCGAATGCCAATATTTCAAATCATTCCAGTGCTTTCAAGATCATGGAACTGCATATCTTAATCTGGTTATATGCGAATAAATTAGGATGTTCTTTTGCAGTTATAGAATTAAATTTATAATTGAAGTAGGTGCCAGAAATTTATTTTCACTTCTGCTTTTTGCATAATTGAATCTGCATTGGGAACTGATATTTTTTTTCTTAATAAATTGGATATTAAAAAATGTAACACTGTGATATGAAAAAATATAATTTAGTAATATTATACATTTGAATTCTAATAATTTAGAAAAGTAAATAAGTTATTCTTAGATTTTAAGTTATTTTTAGGGAAGGCAATTAAGATAAGTTTTTATATTTTTGAAATTTTGTTGAAAATTTTGAATATGAATTTTATAATTATTCTAAAAATGAAGTAGATGTAAAAAATAACTGAAATTAGTACAGATAAGTAGCATGAAATTATGGTAAATGCATGTTAAAATTTATGGGTGATTGTATGTTAAGTATACAGAGTATGTCGAGGGAGTACTGGTTTCTAAACAGAGGCTTGTAATTACCTCTGTACGGTTGTTCCGCTTACCCTCTTCATATAAGATAATGTTGGAGGCTCTCATTTTATGAGTGTATGTAATTTTTTTAAATATTATTATACTTTTTTTATTGTGGATTGTATTAGTGCAGTTCTCAAAGACCAGTTACCTTATGCAAGGAACTGCCTAGGTATCCTGGGCCACCAATGCAGAGACTTCATCAACCCAAATGAGAAACTCTGGTCTAACTAATAATATTTTTAAATATTTTTAATAGTATTAGAATTCATTTTAAATTGCTAAAGGTTTTGCACAATATCTTTTCATAAACCATTTTTATAGTAATTAGTAATTATTTTATGTAAGTAATTATTTTTAGTAAGATCAGATTGGATTGGATTATGGTAAAGCTCTTAAAATTCCTATTGAGAATAAAAGTATTTGTGGAAGATTTTTTAAGCAGAATGTAAAAAGGGCAAAATTGAGCCAGCACATTTATCTGCCAGAAATATAATTAATGCAGAACTACCAATATTTCAAAACTTTAGCCATTCCACCATTTAAATTTACATCAGGAAATGTTACTAATGATAAAACTTTAAATAATTGCTCATATACTTATCTCAATATACAATATGAAGAATGTAAAATGAATTAAATTATTTACAGGTTTGGATGTTGTATTTATCAAAGAATGAAAACATTCTATAATGCTCATATATGACAATACTAATTAATACTTATATACATATATTTTTAATTATATCCAAAGAATACATTTTTTTTCTATGGGATATCTATCAATGTTCTGAGGCAATATCAATACTGCATGGCACACTTAGGTAAAGACTAAATTCAGTTTGGGCAATTCCTAGAATTAGAATTTGTGCCTTCTAGATTGATTTTTATTCCTGAATTATGTCTGATTCTTAATCCTATAATTGCTGAATGACATCTGGCAAGGAAAACTCACAAGCCTGTGGATTTTCTGTCACTGAATTTTCTTTGAAACTTCAATCTTACCTTCAGTTTTAGTATGGGCAGAGACCTGTTGCAGTTACAGGATTTCTTCAATTAACAAATGATGTCAGATATTACCTTACTTCATAGGCTGTTTTAGAAAGCTAATCGTTATTATTTATTTCCTTTATTGAAATGTGTTTGATAGAGATTCGAAAATTAACATATGTAGATTGAGGGAATGTATGTTGCATCAATTTTCCTATGTATTAATTTTACTTCTTTGTATGAAGTAAAGAAAGTACTGTAATCACAAAAAATGTCAGATATCATTCTTCAACAGAAATATCCATGTCGACCAATCCAACAATAAAATAATCCATCATTTAGGTAGCAGGCTATCTCACTATGTCAATAAAATGCCACCCAGATGGGAAAATGGTTAATGATGCTGACTGCTGTAACAAAGGATCCAGTTTCAAATCCTAGGAAAGGCATGAATGTTTGTAATCCTTTTGAGTGCACCTGCACAGCAAAGGTGCAATCAAAATACATGGTGAGCTGAAATCTTATCAAGAGGTTGGTGTTGGAGACCCTCGGACTGCAACCTAGGATGCCGTCCCTCCGAACTCCATCCAGGACAGAAACTTAGCTGTTAGCAACTGCATAATTGTATGCACAGGTGCCAGCTCTGCTTCAACCTGTACCTGTGTCAATAAGATGTTGCAATTCTGAAAGAAGGATAGATGATTGTAAGCATATAGTGCTTTGTGTGGTAAGGGGAAACTCAACACATGCAGAAAGGATAAATCTTCTCAAGAAATTGGTGGTAGGAATGGAAGACGCATTCACTGTGGAGCTCAGCAATTAGCAAGATCCCCGCAATACCTAATATGCCTACTTGGATGCAAAGTGCCGGTCTTGCTTCAACCTGTGTTAATAAGGTACTGCATCATCTTACTCGAATATGAATTTTCAGTCATCTTTTATTTGAGGAAATAGCCACAGTTAAGATAAATAATAAAATAAACTTTTCCACCTCA